TTTTCGGTTTTTTTGCAATTTTCATAATTTTTTGTTAGTCCGCTACGCCTTTTTTGCGTTTGATTCTATAATTTTTTGCATTTTAGTTTTTTTTTACAATCTTTGCAATTTTTTTTGTGAGTGCGCCACGCCTTTTTTGTAGATATTTTCTACGGGTTTTTTCAACCAATTTTCCTTCGGGACTTTGAGTTTTTTTGGTCATTTTTTTTCTTCACTTGTTTGGAATTTTTCTTTCTTAGTTGTTTTACAATTTTTGCAATTTTTTTTTATGTCCGCCACGCTTTTTATGTAGATATTTTTTACGGTTTCCTCAACCAATTTTCCTTCGGAATTTTGAGTTTTTTAGGTCATTTTTTTCTTTTTCACTTGTTTCGCATTTTTTGCAAAAGTTTTCCACTAACATTCCTGAGAGATTTTGGTCTTTTTGTGCAATTTCTCTTTTTTAGTTGTTTCAGAATTTTTGCAATTTTTTTTGTGAGTCCGCCACGACTTTTTTGCCTTCGTTTCCAGTTTTTTTCAAATTTTGTTTTTGGTTTTTTCGCAATTTGCATAATTTTCTAGTAGTTCGCCACGCTTTTTTGCGCTTGATTGTATGTTTTTTACTGAACCACGCCCTTTTTAATGGAAATTTTTGCGGCTTTTTTCAACCAATATTCCTTAGAGATTTTGGTTTTTTTTGCAATTTTTCTTTGTTAGTTTCACAATATTTGCAAATTTTTGTGTTTTTTTGCATTTTTGCAAAAGTTGTTCGTTATTGGGCCACGCCCTTTTTACTGTTAGAAATTAAATATTTTTTTTGCAACTTTTCCTTTGTAGTTTTGCAATTTTTACAAAAGTTTTTCTTGATTGGCCCACGCCTTTTTGCGCTTGATTCTGTATTTTTTTACTGGTCCACGCCCTTTTTGCTGGAAATTTCTGCGGGTTTTTCCAACCAATTTTTCTTAGATATTTTAGTTTTTTGTGCAATTTTTCTTTTTTTGTTTTGCAATTTTTGCAAATATTTTTTGCGAGTGCGCCACGCCTTGTTTGCCTTTGATTCCGGTTTCTTTTGCATTCTCTCTTTTTTGGATCTCTAAATTTTTTTGTTAGTACGCCCCGTTTTTTTGCGCATAATTCTATGTTTTTTTGCATTTTTTACTTTTTTGCAACAGTTTTTCGTGATTGGGACAAGCCCTTTTTACTGTTAGAGATTTTAAATTTTTTTTGCAACTTTTCCATTGCAGTTGTTTTTCAATTTTTTCAAAAGTTTCTCGTGATTAGGCCACGCCTTTTTTGCTCTTGATTCTATATTTTTTACTGGGCCACGCCCTGTTTGCTTGGAGTTTCTGCGAGTTTTTTCTATCAATATTCTTTAGAGATTTTAGTTTTTTGTGCAATTTTTAWTTTTTCTRTTTGCAWTTTTTGMAAATGTTTTCTGTCCGTGCGCCACGCCTTTTTTGCGTTTTTTTGTTAGTGCGCCGCGTTTTTTTGCGCTWGATTCTATATTTTTTAGATTTTTTACWTTTTTGCAATTTTTGCAACAGTTTTYCGTGATTGGGCCACGCCCTTTTTACTGTTAGAGATTTTAATTTTTTTTTGCAACGTTTCTTTTGTAATTGTTTTGCAATTTTTTTCAAAAGTTTTTTGTTATTGGGCCCCGCCCTTTTTGCTTTAAAATTGGTAGCATGTTTTGTCAAAAAGCGGCTAATGATTGAAGGAATTTAATCCCAAGCCGGCAACACTGCATTCACTGGTGTCACCCTTCTTGACTTTTCCCCTGGTTGACACTTGCACACTGTCACCTCCGCACTTGACATCTGATTTGTGAATTTTCCAGCTCTGAATTGCCTGAAGGCGGTTGCAAAATGTCCGAAACCTTCTCAATTCACGCGAAAATCGTCCTTTTCGATCAATTTCCGTCAACGCTTTTGGTCAACGCCCCACTTGCCAGTCAAAGCCACCTCCCCCCACTCCCTAAGTGGTTGTCCGCTGCGCAAATGCTTTGCGCATAAAACTGTTGGTGGCTTCCAAACGAGACCAGCTGGATAGCAAGTGTGACACATCAAGTCAGGCTAGAATGGTCCGGCAAAGCCAAATTTCGCACAACCAATACTGGGTGGCCCAAAAAATTTTCAATTTTGCCCATTAAAGCCATTCCCAGTGGAGATATCGGGATGAAATTTTCTGGAGGCATTAAAGCGCGCCTTGGGCGCCCGATGCTAAAAAATCAGCGCTGCAGCTGATTTGCATAAGGAGATATTGGGTCTGGATCAGGTGACCTTGAAGTAAAACCACAGATCGTTGCTGGAAAGCGTATATTGAACGTTGCCAGACTGATCCGGCCTCAGTTAGCCATCGATTTTTTTACCCAGTCCAGGACTTTGGCAACGTCGCAAAACACCATAAAATTGGCAAGGTCGCATTTTCCAGCGTCGCTCAGCACCAGCGACATCACGCCGCGCAGGTAGAATTTCTGGTTTTTCAGCATCATAAAGCCGGCACCACTGTCGCCGATGCAAGTGCCGGTGCCGTCGCGCTTACCTTTAAATCAACCTGCCAATGACCGCTAAAGTTAGATTGGTAAGTCCCGACTTACCGGCGCAAAATGTTGAATCGGAAGTCAGTTGGTAGTAGGTAAAGTTGGAGTAAAGGCAACTAGTCGTGGACACCACCGGTATGTCCAGGGACTTGGCCACCGAAACGCTGTAGTGTCCAGACTTTTGGGCGGCTGGAAATAGGGAAAAATGTCAAAAAAGTCCAGTTTTCTGTCAGGAAAATCGCTTACCTTCGTCCGCCCCCCACCCGGCCACTGTCCCGGTTTTGGACACAATGGTGTCAACGTCACTGTCCCCCTCCCACAGGCAAATGGGCGCGATTGACCGCGAAAAGTCCACCGGACGATCCAGAGTTATCACCTGCAGATTAACGGTTTGGATCAGTAGTATTTTTTAGCTTTGATCAGTAGGGTGGTTTTTGCACTTTGATTGCATCACCCTGTATAGGAAGCGGGCGGGGAATTTTGGGCCGACCAGAAGAACCTTCTGGATGTCGTCTGCAAAAAAATTCAACTTTCCAGCTGCCCCCTGTTGCCAGATACGGGCTCTGGAACAAGTGACCGCCCCGATTTTAAGTTGGACCGTGACTTTCATCTGTTGCGTTTTAATTGGACATGAACCACAGCAGCAAACGTGCTGAATTTTTTTGGCCACCGAGGCACATGTTTTGGCTTGTCGGTGGAAAAAATTCAACCCCCCAGCTGCTCTGTGTTGGCAGCTAAAGGCTCTGGAACAGGTGACCGTCAGGACTTTTTATCGGAAATTTGACCGAAAAAGTTGCCGTTTAAAAACCCTTCACCCTGCAGAGCGGTTTGGCTTAATTTTTTTGATCGCCAAACGACAGGTTCGGTCAAGCACCTAAAAAAAAGTCAACCTCCCAGCTGTCCTCAATGAGAAGATACAGTGTCTGGAACAAGTGACCGCCGAAACTTTCAAAAGAAAACCCCTTCAATTGTAACGTTCTTTAATGCATCGCCCTGTAGAGCAATTGGGCTGACACTTCCAGGATATTCGGCGACAGCTTTTGACTTGTTGGCACAAAAAAATCAAGCTCCCACCTGGCTCCTATGGATACATAGAAGCTCTGGAGCCAGTGACCGCCAAGACTTTATAAAGCAAATTTGACGGGAACTTTAACTTTCGATATCACATTTCTCTGCCCAGCAATCCAGGTGAAATTTTGAGGCCGTCCAGGGGCATGTTTTGGCTTGCCGCTGCCAAAAAATCAACCGTCCAGCTGCTCGCGCTGGAAAGATACCGGGTCTGGAACAAGTGACCGCCAACACTTCAATAAAGGAACCGCACTAACTTTTTGACGTTAAATAAAACATCACGCTGTGGGCCAATCGGGTTGAAATTTTCAGGACATGGAGCCACATGTTTGGTCTTACCCGTGGAAAAAAAACTTTCCACTTTCTCCCTATGGAAAGATACAGGGTGTGGTAGAAGTGACAACCCAGACCTAACAAAGGAAATTTCAGAGCAACTTTAATATTTAATACCGCATCACCCTGTACACCAATGGGGCTGAAATTTTCTGGCCATCGAGAGGCATGTTTTGTCTTCGTCGTGCAAAAAACTGAAGATTCCCGCTGCTCCATATGATAATATCCAGGGTGTGGAGCAAGTGGCCGCCAACACTTTATGAAGGAAGTTTGACAGGACTATTAGCGTGCCATACCGTAAGACCCTGTGCAGCAATCGAACTGAAAATTGCCGGCAATCCAGAAGCAAGTTTGGTCTTCTGGCGGCAAAAAAATCCACCTTCCAGCTCGGCCTGGTGGAAAGTTACAGGGCCTGGAACAAGTGACCGCCAACACTTTATTGCACCAAATCTTGAACTTTCATTAAAAACTCATCCTGGAAAGCAATCCAGATAAAATTTTCAGTGCATGCCGAGACATGTTTTGTCCTGCACGTGCATGAAAATCAATCTTACAGTTGCTCTCGCTGGATAGATCCAGGGCTTGGAACGAGTGACCGCCAAATTAAAAGGGTTTCTAACATTTCATAACTCATCACCCTGTATGCTGATCGGGCGGAAATTTTCAGGCTACCAAGAAACATGTTTTGACGTGCTTGCGACCAAAAATCAACCTTCCTGCTGCTCTCTCGGAAAAGTTATCGAGTCTGGAACAAGAGAAAGCACAACTTAACGGCGAAAATTCGACAGACAGGTTGTTTAATGTTTTATAGCACAGCGTCCTGTGGACGCATCGGTCTCAAATTTTCACGATATCTAGAAAAATGTTTTTACTTGCTCATGACCAAAAAATCAGCCGTCCAGCTGCTCCCTCTGGGGAGATACGGAGCGTGGAAGACGCGACAACCAAGACTTGTCAAAGGAAATTTAACAGGATTTTTAACACTTTATACCGCATCACCCTGTGTAGCAACCGGGTTGAAATTTCCAGGAAACCAAGAAACATGCTCTGTCTTGCCGGCACAAAAAAATCAACCGTCCAGCTGTTCGCGCTTTAAAGATACGGGGTCTGGAACAAGTGACCGCCCACACTTCAACAAAGGAACCGCACTAACTCTTTGACGTTAAATAAAACATGACCCTGTGTACCAATCGAGTTGAAATTTTCAGGACATGGAGCCACATGTTTGGGCTTGTTGGTGCAGAAAAATCAACCTTCCAGCTGCTTCCCAACGGCAAGATCCAGGGTCTGGAACAGGTGACCGCCCAAGCTCCCACCTGCAAATCGCCTCAAATGCAACTTACCGAAATATCGCCATGACCGGAGTTGGCATCAAAGTCCGGATTGGTACTGATGGCGGCCGCTCCCCTAGTCACGGCGCCACTAGTCGCCCAATTCTTCAACTTGCTCTTACCGAAAACGAACAGAACATCTTCGGTGCTTACCAGCTGGATTTTGAAGAAGCTCACACAGCGCGCCGCTGCAAAGCAATCCAGATCCAGGATTGGTAAGCAAGGTCAAGGTCATTCGCCCACTTACCAGTGATGACGTGTTTCCTGGATACGAGATTTCCAGTGCATTTGTATTGGTAACCGTTGCCAGATGCCGCAAACATGGCCGCCAACCATGGAAACATTCCATCGGCCACTTCAGTGCCGCCCAGGATTAATGGAACGATGACGTTTCGTGACACGCCGCACTCCACGTTCTGATTGGCCGCCGCTTTGGAAACCGGTAATTCTGGAATTCTTTAATGGAGAAAATCGCATTTGAGTGGAAAACGCTCCGAAAATCGCCCTCTCTAACTCACAGTGTCGTTGGTTGTTTCCATTATTCCCACTGTTGCCAGCTTGTTGCTTAGGACTAGGGATCAGGGAAATTTAACTGTCACTCTTGACAGTTTAAGGTTAGGATGAGCAATCAAACAACAAACAATCATTGGTATGACATTGTATTTATATTGTCAGTTACACTGTTGCCAGCTTGAGCACATTTTCATTAACTAAGTTAGAGCACTGGGCGGGTTAGGGCGAATAAATAAATATCTCACTGTGGGCTTTCGCCCTTCTTCTTCTGTATTGTCCTCCTCTTCTTCTTCTTCTTTTGCCTGACACATCTGCTTACTCCTTCCTGCAGTGAGAAAAATCGGTTTTTTGAAACCAACAACTGAAATTGTTGCTGCCAGTCGAAATGTCATTTTCAACATAACCTTACCTTTTGCAAGACATTCCATTTTCCTAGTGCTCTAACCGCACTTTGACTTGAGCTTAGAAAAACCCGCGTTTTCGGTGATTTTTTGCAATTAACGGCAACGTTGCAACAGGTGGGAATATTGGAAAACTTACGCAAATCAAACTGGTCGCTTTCATTTGAAACGTTGGGACAATTCTAAGCATAAATTCCCATTAACCCCAAAAAAGCGCAATATGGCAACATTGCAAAATGGACAGAATGTTGAAAAATTACTCGTTTCAATCGATCGTCGGTTCAAAAGTCATTAGGAATGTTGAACGCAAAAATCCACATTTTAATTGCAGTTGGGCGTCCACATTACAAAGAAGTGGCAACACTGGAGGTGATGAAATTACGCCAACTGGAAGCAACCCCAAAAAATCGGGCAATTTGACCATTTGACTCAAAAAAGTTCCATTTTTCCAACTGAAAAATCCACATTACATTGGCGAAGATGCGGCGTGGCAACCACGCATTGTCCGAACTGGACTTGACAGTATGTATTTTGAAAAATCCTCAATTGTTCACAAAATCCACATCTTCAACGTAAATATAAATGGCAACGCTGTACCATTTAGTACTATTTTAGTATAATTGCGACTGCATCGGCAACGCTGGAAAGTGTGAAATAGGGTTAGAGCGTCGTTGTTTTGACTGTTTTCAGCAGCGGGATTATAAGGAAATCCGCGTTTTTGTCAAAAATTCCACATCGCATTGCGCAAAAAGTGGCAACCATGTAACGGTCACATTCGTTAGCGTTCGAATTCCATTTTTTTAATGAAAAACATGCAAATGCACTTGAAGAAACGACATTTCGAACGCAAAGATATTCATGAACAGAAAAGTAGTTCTAAGCGGCAACAATGTTGCAGATGAATCGGACGGACCATCAGTTGTAAATGAGTAGGATGATTAAAAAATCGGCCATTTTGACTCAGAACCTCGAAAAAATCCACTCTTTTAATGGGCGAATCCACATTACAATCTAGAAATCGCATCTGGCAACGTTGCCACATTGAGTCGTTGCGATTTATGGTTTAGTATAATTGAATTTGACGTAAAAATTCCGAAAATTAGAGGGTTTTTGCGCAGAAAATCCACATTAAAAGTGAAAATCTTTGAATGGCAACGTCGAATTGATTCGAAAAAGAATTTTCAGAAAGAATGAATCAGCATTAAATCAAACGAAATGGAAGTGGCAACACTGTAGCAGGTGTGGCAATGAATTTCACTGGAAAATTCCTCATTTAAATTCGTCGCAACGTCGCAAACGATAGTGCCAATGTTTAGCAAAAAAATGTTTAGTGGCTTAAATAGTATGGGCAGAGGAAATGGAAATTTTCGTCCGAAAAATCCACATTACCATAAAAATAACCGACGCGGCAACCCTGCAAAACGCCATAAAATCTTCATTAGCCTCCTGAAAACTCAAAAACGATTAAAAGCAAGAAGATTCGCATGCTTTGAAGAGAAAACTGAAAATTTTTAGTTTCCAAATCCACATTACCAGGGAAATCAATTCAGGAATCCACATTACATTGGAAAAAAAACAGAAGTGGCAACACTGGATCAGGTATGACAGTCAACTAATTTTGAACTGGAATATTGACGGGCAATTTTGCTGGAGCGCCCGCATTAAAATGCCTGATTACAACTGGCAACGTCGCTTGCTACAGTGAGAACTTTTAGTGCAATAAATCTCTTAGTGATTTTGATAGCAGGGGCGGAGGRAATTMGAWTTTTTACMCAAAAAATCCACATTAYCAAGAAAAAAAACTGAAGTTGCAACACTGGAAARCGMAATAAAACCGTAATTAAATTCCTGAAAATGCAAAACGCCTAAAAGATTCGCATATTTTTAAGAGGAAACTGAAAGTTTTTAGCTTCTAAATCCACATTACCGACAAAACCCATTTTCGCTTTGGAATTGATGAATCCACATTACATTTTGGAAAATGAGTGTGGCAACACTGTATCAAGAATGGAGTTTAAAAATGTTTACTGGAATTTTCACTGGCAATTTTGCTGGAGCGTCCACATTAAAATGTCAACACCGCATGGCGCAGTGAGAAATTTCGAAAAAAAATGTCTGAAAAAATCTCCTGGTGGTTTTAATAGCAGAGGAAGAGCAAATTGGAATTTTCACACAAAAAAATCCACATCAGATTTTTCAGCTTCCGCATCCACATTACCGGGAAGAGCGAGKGCAGCGGCAACGCTGTRACACTCGGCAGCAGCAAYGGCTGATTGAATCCGCTSAATTTCACTGATTGTGGACTGAAAATCCACATTTTTTCGACGGAAATCCACATCACATCCAGAAAAATCTTGTGCGGATCGATCAGAATTTGACTGAGAAAAGTTGGGAACAAACGTGATCAAAATTCTGCTTGGGATTTTGGAAATCTGGTGCGGAATTCGAAAGAATCCACATTACAATAGGTGAACTGGCAACGCTGCCTGTGCAGTGGGTAACTAGAAAAAATTTTCCCAAGGGTTTAATTGAAGGAATTAATTGCGGGCAAACCAACAGGATTTTCAAGGTTCAAAATCCACATTACCTCCGGGAAAAAGAGGCAGTGGCAACCCTGGAAATCGAAAAACACTCCATCAAGAGGACGCAATTGCGTGACTCCCGAAGGCTGATTTTCCTCGATTAGAGCCAAATGGGGGCAAAATCCACACGTGTGATGTGGACGCATCCACACTGAATCAGGTGGATTTTCGCGTTGATTTCGCTGGCAAAGGCCTACCTTTGATTTGGCTGGACGGCCTGCAAATTCGCCTCGACAGTGGGCGGCTGTGGATGCTCCACACCAGTGGCGGCGGGCGCGACACTGTTGCCAGTTGGCTGAAAGTAGTAGTTGTGTCCGGCCCATAGGCTGGTCACTCCAGGCGTGCCAGCGACCACTAGAACGAATCTAAATAAGGTTTTTTATCGATTTTTTTGCGTGTGTTGGGCGCCTGACGTTGTTCCGGCGGTCCAGTGCAGTACGTGCGCCCGTTATACTGGATCTGGGTGATTTTTGGCACCACATTCTGGAACGGAAACTCCAGATCGTAGTTCAAAATGCTGGTTCTGCGCTGGATGATGTCCGCCCCTGGTGTGACCATTTTCACCGTCAATTTCTGAAAATTCCCCGAAAATTACTCTATTCTGGCCTGCAACGTGGCAACGTTGCCGCCGGATCGTTAGTTCTAGAACGAGTCACAAACGTTGCTGGCGCCCAGCAACGTTTGCACTGACTTAGTTTGGAAATTAATTGCGCAAAATCGGGCAGCGCTACAGAGTCGGCTGGGGTGGCCCTGGATAGAGTGGGCTTTTGCCTATGCGCCGGCAGGTTTCGGACGGGGCACCATCTTCAGGGTGCTTTTGGCAAGCTAATCAACTTGCGTGAAAATGTACTTGCGCAAATTGCTGGCAGCCACCTTTCGACAATTAAGTGCGGCACTTTGGGGAGCGGCAGAATTTTTCCTGCCACGGCACTGGATAGAGCCCACGTCGACCTGCAAAACACCGAGTTTCGAACCCAGTGCCATCCTCAGGGCGGTTTTCACAAATTAAGGAAATTAGCAAAAATGCAAACTGCTGTTAACCAATTTTTGAAAATTATTTGCGGAAACTCGGGCAAAGGTAGAAACTCAAGTGGTACGCCACTGCATAGCACGCACCGTTATCTCCAAAAGGGCAGGTTTCGAATGCAGCCCCATCCTCAGGGTTTTTTTTGGGCAAATGGACGAAATTAGCGAACATTCACCAGAGTGGATTGCGCCTAATCGTCGTTAGGCAATTAATAGCAAAAAATTGAAAAGAGGCTCAACAACCATTTTTACGGCACTGAATAGAGCGCGCTTTTGGCTACAAATGTCGCTGTTTCGACGCCCGGGCCATCCTCAGGGTAGTTTTTCCAGCGGAATCAATTTGTTGAAAATCGACTTCAGCAAACTGCTGCCAACATTTTTTTGCAAATTAATTCCGGAAAATCCGTAAACGCTGCAACCCTGGACGTTTCGGCCCTGAATAGAGCGCAAAATTCACTATAAACTGGAGCGTTTCGGAATCGGCACCATCCTCAGGCAGATTTTGGGGGGCATTTCAACTGGACCCATGGACAGTGTTTGGAGCAGAAGCAGGCAACAGGTTGGTGGTTTGCGTGACCTGAAGATGGCCGAGGTCCGAAACGTTTGCACTCGAGCTGTCAGTTTTGCTCGAGTTTGTGATGATATTTTTTGCAAGGTCGAAATTTTCCTCTGGTTTTGCCAGTCAAGGAAGTGTGGATTTTTCAAAAGTTGTCAAACGGGTGCGGTTGGAAAAGTCGATAAAATCAGTAGCGCGCTTATTAGGCGTTTTACCGAAAAAGTGAGTAGCGCGTTTTTTGTCGACTTTGACTTTTTCTATGCAGTGGCGTGCTTTGGAATTCTCCATCGTTTATCGTTGTGGAGATATTGAGGACTTTGTGATAATTACATTTAAACGGAATTTTATCGAAAATTCTATGTGCCAGGGCTTTGAAAAATTTTTCGAAGATTCCCTGGGAAAGGCCGAATGCTTTATCAAGAGCGCGTTTTTTCGATTTAAAGCGTTGTTTGGACGATAAAAACAAAAATCGCGACAATCGCGCAAGAATCCCAGAGACTTAGTCACTCAAGGAATTTTCACTGGCTAACAAAAATTGTTTAAACAATTCCCCCACAAGAGGGAGTTGGACGAGGCACAGCCCCATCATATAAAATCCAAATTTATTTTTTTTAAAATCGCTATTCATTTCTAGAGGGAATAAACTGGGAAACCTTTAAGGGCGTGGTCGAAGAAAACCGTCCAAAAACTACCCCGCCACTGGCTTGAGCCGAAAAAAAAYCCGGAAAACTTGCATGGGGACTGCTGAAAATCAGTTTTTCTACTGTCAAGTTGACATTTCAACTGCCAAAAAAATGTCCAAAATTTGCAATTTTTTCTCGGTGAAATCGAAAAATCGCCTGTTACTCGCGAACTGTTCATGTGAGGAGAAAAGTGAGTTCCACCTTTTTTATGTCTGTTGAGCTCCGCCATCCAGTGGTGTTTGTGGAAATTGTCCACCGGTTATGGTTGTGGAGATATTGAAGATTTTGCCGTGCAATTACTTTTAACGGCATTTTCTCGCAATCGCCTTACRCCAGAGTTTCAGAAAAACTATCACTAGATGCCCTGGGGAGGGCCGAATGTTTTACCAACAGCGCATTTTTTCGATTTAAAGCGTCGTTTGGACGAGAAAAAATAAAGCGCGACAATCGCGCAAGAATCCCAGGGAGTTAGGCACTCAAGGAATTTTCACGGGCGAAAAAAAATAGTTTTAACAATTCCCCTACAAGAGGGAGTTGGAAGGGGCACAGCCCCATCCTGTAAGAGCCCATTTGATTTTTTTAAAAATCGCTTTTTATTTCTAGAGGGAATAAACTGGGAAACCTTTAAGGGCGCGGCCGAAGAAAACCGCCCAAAAACGACCCCGCCACTGGCTTGAGCCGAAAAAAAACACCGAAAAACTTGCATGGCGACTGCTGAAAATCAGTTTTTCTACTGTCAAGTTGACATTTCAACTGCCAAAAAAATGTCAAAAATTTGCAATTTTTTCTCGGTGAAATCGAAAAATCGCCTGTTACTCCCGTACTGTTCATGTGAGGGGAAAAGTGAGTTCCACCTTTTTTATGTCTGTCGAGCTCCGCCATCCAGTGGTGTTTGTGGAAATTGTCCACCGGTTATGGTTGTGGAGATATTGAAGATTTTGCCGTGCAATTACTTTTAACGGCATTTTCTCGCAATCGCCTCATGCCAGAGTTTCAGAAAAACTATCACTAGATTCCCTGGGGAGGGTCGAATGTTTTACCAAGAGCGCGTTTTTTCGATTTAAAGCGTCGTTTGGACGAGAAAAAATAAAGCGCGACAATCGCGCAAGAATCCCAGGGACTTAGGCACTCAAATAATTTTCACGGGCAAACAAAAAATGTTTCAACAATTCCCCCACAAGGGGGAGTTGGATGGGGCTGTGCCCCATCATATAAAACCCCTACTAATTTTTAAAAAAATCGCTATTCGTTTCCAGAGGTAATAAACTGGGAAACCTTTAAGGGCGCGGTCGAAGAAAACCGCTCAAAAACCACGCCCGCCACTGACTTGAGCCGAAACAACCCCGAAAAACTTGCAGGGTGGCAGCTCCGAATCAGTTTTGCCGCTGTCAAGTTGACATTTCAACTGTCAAAAATTGCGATTTTTCTTCGATGAACTCCAAAAATCGTCTGTAACTGGCATATTGCTCAGTTTAGGGGAAAAGCGAGTTGCATCTTTTTTATGCCCTTCGAACTCCTCTATTGAGTGGAGTTCGCACAAATTGCCCATGATCAATGGTTGGGGAGATATAGAGGATTTTGTGGTACAATGACGTAAGTAAAGTCTTAGAGAGTGTACGAACCACCTAAATGGAATTATCTCCAAAACCCTTCGTACCGGGGCCCTGAGAAAAATACCCCTGTATTCCTCTGGACAGTCCCGATGTTTTATCAAGGGCGACGTTTTTCGATTTGGGGCCGCATTTCGGCGAGAAAAAATAATCGCGCCAAAATCCCCGAGACTCAGTCACTCAACGAATTTTCGCGGGCGAAAAAAAATTATTTCCACATTTCACTCGTGATGACAAGTTGGATGGGGCCGTGCCCCATCCCCCAAAGCCCCCCAGGATTTTTTAAAAACTCCCCCCAGTCTCCACCGGCCAAAAGCACCAAAACCCCTAAGGGCGTGGTCGCAGAAAACCGCCCGAAAACCCCCCCCGCCACTGGCCAGGCCGGGGAAAACCTCAAAACGCCGAACCTGGCGGCCCCCCCGACAGTTGGGGCCGAACAAACCGGGCGTTTGAGGCAAAAAACATTAATGGAAAAAATGGAGGAAACACTCACCACGCGTCTGTTGTCCGTGTGGTAGCCTTTCATGGAGGCGTTCACGCCCAAATGGAGCGCGGTGGTGTCATCGTAGGGGAGCGTGATGCGCCCGAAAACCTCTCCATTGGGGCGCGTGGAGTAATGGAAAGCGTCCGGACAGGGCGAGGCTGGCACATCTTGAGCGGCCACCAGCCCACAAACCGCAAAAACAATCAGCGAATTGATTGGAAACATGATTTGATCGATTGTAGTTGAATCGAGCGTATGAAGGCTATTTATACAAGAGCTGGTTTTACCGACGATTCTTAATTGCGCCAGTGGCGGCGCTAATTATTCTCCATTGTTTGCGTGGGAATGTGCGAGAGGAGCCGCAGAAAAATCCATCATTGTTCGGTTTCCATTGCAGTGCGCGGGGGCGACAGCATCGACTCAAGTTGAGGAATCCGGGGCACGCCACTGGCCAACGTTTCCAGCCGGCCATCCTCAGGCCGTTCCACGCCAGGGGCCCTGCAGTGGCAAAATTCCCCAAAATCTCCATCCTGCCGGGTTGCCGACGCCAATCCAGGGCGGCGTTGGAAAGGGCCCAATTGGCTCTCCAGACGGACCCAGTTTCGGGTGCAGGCCATCATCAGTTTGGCAGGTAGGAATTTTTAAAGCCCGCGCAGTTTCAAGCGGGTTTTTCGCGCTGAATTTTCCCAACGTTTTTGCGGCAAACCTGCAACCAATCCAAACCTGCAAATCATGGTTTTAGCAAAAGCGATACTGCTGCTATTGACGAGGAACGTTTCGAATTCAGGCCATCATCGGGGTTTTTTCTGCGAATTTTTAAAGCCTGATGAGCTTCAATAGAGGGTTTTGGCATTCATTTTTCTCCATTTAATTGCTACTAAAATTCGGGAAAATTTCCGCTTCCGAGTTGGGGTGTTGGCAAGAGGAACTCGTCCTCAACTGTTCCAAAAAGTTTCGAATTCAGGCTATC